TCCGCCCGCCCCGCAGCCAGCACCGCGCCCGAGCACCGCGCCCGGCGGCCCCTTCCCCGGAGCCGCGGCCCTCCCGCCTCCAGCCGGAGAGCTTTCGCCGCTGCGGCCCTGCGTTGCGGCCCCTTTGTCGCCGTGCTGGGATCGAGCTACGCGCGTGCAGCCCTTTCAGATGAGTAGGGATGGGGCTGCTGAGAACGTGTTATAAAATAATGCGTATCTTGGGCCTTACGGCTTCCTGTTCCTCGGTTCTGGTCTGCTTCCAGAGGTTGCCCATTACGTTTAAACCTTCGCACAGTTTTATTTGTATATACAACACAAAAGGTAACTTCAGGGAATTAGATTTATGCATTTTTCTTTGAAGTTCTGAGTACAGGTTAACATTTTTTATAACTGGATTGGATGGACTTACCTGAGCATAATATAATGGTTGATTCTGGTCCTCTCACCACTGCTCCCTGTCTGTCCTCTGAGAATTCTCTCTACACAAAATCTAAACACGGCTCTTAAGGAATGGCTTCTTCATAGAGCGCTCCTTTCTTATAGAAGCCAGGGGGAACTGGGGGTGAGGGAGCAACATTAATATACCTCTTCATTTCATTGGAGTTATTTGTGTTCCCAACCTTTTTAGGTATGCAGTGTTATATATCCTATTGTAGGTAAGGGAGAGCTGAAGCTCAGAGTTTTGATGACTTACCTGGAGCTACAGGAATACAGATATATGGAGCTCTTGACTCCATAGTCATCTAGAGTAATCCTAATTTACCTTTTAGAGACACATTTTAGTTTTTTTTTATTTGATCACTACAAATGTATATGTCCTGACTCTCTACTGTGAGTTAATATATCTTAGCTGCCGTGTAAAAGATGACTGTGTTTACATTTCTTTTCTCAACCTGTTTATCAGTACACAATATAGAAAATAAGTAAAATGAACTGGCAGGTGGTGTGGTGGGTAAGGGGTTGGACTCCCACATGGCCTACTGCAGTTGGAGTCCTGGCAGCTTGCTTTCTCACTTTCCTTCTCTCTCTCTGTCCCTCTCAAATTAATTAAGGTAAATAAAATAATTCTTTAAAAAAATAAGTAATAAAACTTATTATTTCGGCAATATATTTTTTAAAAATCCAGTAGCTAAGCAGACCACTTGAAAATTGAATAAGCACCAAGCCTCTGCAGTGTGTTTGCAAAAAACTCAGAGGTTTCTAATTCTAATGGCCATAGAGGCCAGCCAGGGTAATGTAAATGAGAGGAACTGTCAGGTTATAGAGCACAATAGGATGGTGTGGACTAAGGGGAGCAGCATTTTCTACCTAGCTCTAGCTGCTAGCTGCCAGGCAGGCATTTAGACATTGTTGCCACATCTTCCTAATTTTCAAAAGAAGTCAGAGGAGCCAGCAGGTGGTGTGGTGGTTAAGGCCCTAGACTTACACATCACTGGACTATGGCTTGAGTCCTAGACCTGGCAGCATGTTTTCTCACTTTCTCTCTCTTTCTGTTGCTTTCTGATGAGCACACATGCCCTATAGCAAAATTAGAAATAATAGTAACAATAGTAAGTAAATAAGAGAGGTCAGAAATCGGACTTTGGTACGTGTGAACTCATTTTTAAAGTGTTAGCATTTATCAAATTGAATCATATGAAATTCCCAGTTTTATACATTTAAAGCTGAAAAATACTGGCAGTTTCACATTCCCACATATTTTTAAATGTTTAAACTCTGTGCATGCCAAAAGGAAAAAAAAAAAACCATCTGTGGAAAATGGACAGTTTTCCCCAAAAAATGATGTTGGAACAACTGGATATCCATATGGGGGAAAAAGTGACTGTAGCTTTGGTTTCTCTCTTACATCATAACTTGAATTGGATCATTGATCAAATTATAAAATATTAAAACGATTGGACCAGCAGGTGGTATAGAGGTTAAGGTGTCTCCATCCCACATGACCAGTTGTGCAGTATGAGTTCTAGACCTGGTGACTTGAGAAACAGATGGGCACATGTACATGCATGCCCAAAATCCCAAGGGAAGAATGGAGAAGGGATTGTGGTATGGTCATCTTGTAGCAGACTAATAAAAATTATAAATAAAACTATAAAGCCTTAGAAGAAAACATAAACCATCCTCATGACTTGGATATAGGCAAAGATTTCCTTATTTTGATTTTTTTTTTTTTTTTGGAGAGAATTTTGCTATAGGGTGCGTATGCTTGCCAGAAAGACAGAGACAGAGAGACAGAAAGCGAGAAATCCCCCCCCCAGGGGGGGGGTGGCCACTCCACAATCCCTTCTCCTCTGTTCTCTTCTCGGGATCTTGAGCACGCACGCACATGTGCCTGGCGTGAGTTTAAGCCACCAGGTCCAGGACTCAAACCATGGTCGACTACATGGGAGTCCGTCAACATAGCCATTACGCTAACTGCTGGTCCCTAGGCAAAGATTTCTTAGAGGACAAAGGAAACAATTTCTATAAGAGAAAAAAAAGATAAATTATATTCTCCAAAATAAAATTTAAAACCATACTCTGGGAGAAAATATTCACAAAACCTGTATGTGGCAAAAGATTTTCAGAGTATACTATATCTGTTGAATTATAAATGAAAGAAAAAAGAAGTTATCTCTGTTCTCTGAAGGTAAACAGTCTTACTAGGGAAGGAAGACAAACTTGTTATAGTGAGTATTAAATAAAATATGTCAATATTTATTGCACTGCCTTCCATATGGTGAATGCCTAGTCAGTGTTAATCGACTTTGTGTAATAACTCTTAAAGCCCCATCTGTAGCCTCAATTATTTACTTCTAGTCTTGAGAGAAAATAAAATTAACATTATTTATATAATTTTTATAATTTATACAAATTATAATCACAATTTTTAGCTGCTTACAGACTTCTTATGGATGTCATTATCTTAAATTCTCCATTTCTAAACCTGCAAGGTGCTGCTTTCATCTCTCTTCTCCCTCTTCAATATAGTTCTTTTTTCTAATTTTTTGGTACTATCTTTCTTCCATTTACCCAAACTAGCATCTTTGCAGTCTTCCTTGAACCTTTTCTCTGTATTATGTTTAGGAGAACTCTTTTTTTCCTCCTAAACCACATTTTGTGCTCATAGCTTGATGCTGAAACCCTACAGCTTCCATAGGGCCCTAGGATGTGGTGGATGAGAACACAGACTAATATGTAGGACTGTGGAAGTTAGATTCCTGCTGTCATGATGGCTTAGCAC